GGAATTTGGTGAGTGTTGGATGTGGTGCAACGACAGAAAGTTCAGTAACCATTAAAAAGCAATTTGAAGTTCAATAAATAAATCGTGACCACGTTAATGTTCACTTACCATTTAAACATTTTACTCTAAAAGATGTCGAAGAGGGGCTTAGACGCTTAGTCCATATTAGACGCCCACTCTATTGTAGTCGTAAGAACCTACAGGCTCGGCAGTCCTTTCAACCAAATTAACCAATTTTAACCTCAACATTTTTATCACCCCCGCCGATGGCTCATCTGTCATCACCTCGCCGCTTCCGTTTATTATTTCATTTAAACTGAGACTGGAAATTAGTTGAGTATAACATATTTATCTCCCAAAGATTCAAATGGCATCGTGGTTAGAATCTTTGTTCTCTCCAGTTAAGTGTTGGGTTAATTCTTCTCAACGACTCCAAAACTACGGTAAATTTTCCCTACATTTTGGTATTTTTTTGCTTCTGGTTTTCTTTATATTTAAATTGGGATTTGGGTTTTTTTTAAGATTTGAACACCATTATACTCTTTAATATGGGGAATGTAACATCTATCATTGTTGTTCAATAAGGATTTATTTAGGAAGAAAGTTAAAAGAGATGACAGAATTTGGTGGATATTGGATAGCGTGGTGGTTATAAAGTATTGGGCTTTTTGTGTTTATGGTTGATTCTTAGTCATTTAAATTTCATTTTCTGTTATCCTAGTTGATATAGTAGTTTCTAATCCTAGTAAATTATCTATTTGCAAGTTCTATGTCATTGAGGCCATACCAAAGTTTTTGGGACCTTCACATAAAATGTAGGGTTATGCTACATACATTTTAGAATAATGCTACACGTACATTATGGACACCACTATGTGTACCATAATGTACGTGTAGCATTATTCTAAAATGTATACAGCAATAACATATTCCTTTCATAAGATTGATTGCAGGAGTAGAATTTAGTTTAGTTTAACAGTTATTCTACATAAACTGGTTCCGGCCAAATTTGGTGAAAAAACAATGCTTTTTCTCCCACCCCCTCGCATCACTTGTTAGCACACGAATATCTTGTTTTGCTAGCTGCCATGAGTTTCGAAACCAATTGTCACTTTTTCGACTATAGTTTTGCTTATTGTGATGATCTCGTGAATGCTAGAGGAATGAGAGAAAAAAGAATTAAGACAGAAGCAGCATATTTCTTGACGCTGCTTTTGGTTTAATTGGAAAGTAAAAAATCTCACCTCACATGTGCTAGATCAAAGGAATCATTGTTGGAATTGATGGATAGGGTTTAGCTTAGTTCAGATCATTTGGCATTTTATAAGAGCCATATAAATTTTTGGTCTTTAGTTGGTTGGACTCTATCGATGATTATCGGATGTTTAATATAAACGATGATCATTTTTTCCTAGGATTTAGCATAGAATGCAGATAAAATTTAAGATTTTAGCAAATTTCACCTATCCTTTGCCATGTCATTTGTATAGATCAATCGTGGATTTTTTTTTGGGTATTTTCTTAAAATAGAAGCAAATAAATGATTAAGCCTTAAAGACACATTTCACCCGCTGTGATTTCAGTATTGAATGCAAGATATGTCTAATGTTGATGACAATCCAGATTGCGCCATGATACATTTTCAAGTTTTCTGCAATTTTTACCGTTTGATACCAAACAAGATTTCAATGTTAATTTCATGTGGGAGTTGTAGAACCACCAAAGTTATTGTTAAACAATGCTTGAAATACATGTAATGCGTTTCCTCATTTCTTTAGTTGATGTCTGAAGGCCTTTTCTTTCTGTTTTTCTCTTTTAGTTTAAGGAGGATAAAATAGAACATCCAAAGCCTGCAACTTCTAGTTGGTAAATCCGTCATTCTCTTTCTGCTTCTATAAACCTAATAATGATAAATCAAAGAGGAACTTGCTTGTTTCTTGCTTTCTCAAAGTTAATGGAGCACACGTCTGATGAACCAATATTGTGAAAATTGGTGATTAATGTATTTGTCTGCTAGAATTTGGCACAAACATTAATAATGTTTCCTACTCTTTATTGTTTCTAGTGTTTATTCCTTCTCCTTTTCGAAGATGAGCATAATTTATATTGAAGTTTTGAACTTTGTACTTTTCTACTTTTCTAAAGTTACAAGTTTACTCTCTGCCAGGATATATTTTGAGCAATTATATGAAGGGTATTGAAGCTGATGAAAAAGAAACAAAAGACTCATTGCTGGAGGAATTTAGAACTGAATTATTAAGAAATCCTGAAGAAATTGAGAAGATCATCGGGTACAATTTCAATAATCGTTGCTTATTGCTTCAAGCCTTTACACATGTATCATATCACCAGGGTTGCATGTCATATGAACGGCTTGAGTATGTAGGTGATTCAGTACTTAATCTTTTAATCACAAAAGAGCAGTTTTCCATGTATCCAAATCTTCCGCCAGGGCTGTTGACACCTCTTCGTGCAGCAAATGTTGACACAGAAAAACTTGCGCGTGCAGCTGTCCAGCATAACTTTCATAAATACATTCGTCATGGGCAGCCTGTCCTTAGGAAACGAGTAAGTACTGTCATTGTTGAGTTGTTAATTTTTGAATGTACTAATTTGTTATTTTGTGAATTAATCAAGTGGAAGGGGGAAAAGGGGGGTATTGGTCCATAAATAGACAAATTTGGAATGATGAGATCTAATTGAAATGCATTTTGTAGGGGCATTTGGCTCATGATTGGCAATAAACACAAAACAAATTAGTTGGTCCTAATATATCCTCCTTTTCCAGTGTAGCCAACTTGTGACAATAGAGTAGTATCATTTTAGTTTCAAATCAACTTATTACAGTTCTCTCCCTCCACTTTTTATTCTTGAAAATGAGATATAATTGCACTTACATCCTCTGAGGTAATTAACAATTACATGGACCCCTCCTCCCTTTCCAAAAACTATGTAGACCTCCTCTCTCAATTGTTTTATATAACACATTCCAACTTTGACGATTTTAAAACACACAGTGTCAAATACCTAAAATATCGTTATGAAATCAAAAGATGATGGAAGGTTGTGTATTTTTTTCCCTTTTATTTTAAATGGGTATTTAGGTATCCAAAGTTTCTGGCCGACATATGGAACCTGTTATACAGAATAATTGAGATGGGAGGTTTATGTAATTATTCAAATTGGAGTAGGGGTTAGTGTAATTATCTCTCAATTTAAAGTTACATATAGTGATTGATGATCATCATTTTCCTAGATCTTTAACTTGCTTACATCATAACAAAAGAAAAAAAGGAAAGGAAAGGAAAGGGGAGAAATTAAATCATGAGATTTTCAATTATCTTAATTTCTTCAATCATGATATACAGATCATCACACTCATGGGAGAAGTCAATTTTTTAAAAGTGAGAATATTTACCTTTCAAAAAAAAAAAAATGACAATATCAGAATTTTCTATTCTGATGATTATCAAATACATTTTAAAGTTGAATTCTAGACTAGATGTGTACTTTTACTTTATAATTGTTTGCTTGATGTTTGTGTTTGGTTAACTTGAATGGATTTCATCTGTAATATTCTGAGAAAGACAAAGTGATGCAGTCATTTCTGAGAATTACTTGGTCATGAGAGTCATGGAGCATTAATAAAAATCTATTTTGTCAAAATGGACTGGACCGGCCGGTTCAAATGGAAAAACTGTGAACCGTTAGGAAAACCAGTCCATCGATGGCATGAGTTCCATTTGCTTATGTAACGCCCCAAATTTTATTGATTTAAATTTTGAGGTGTTACCGATATCATTTCATAATCATACATAAAGCGGAAAGTATTTAATTGAAGATTCAAACTTGAATAAATTTATGCATTCATAATATCCAAATTAATTCAACCCAAAACATTAAAACAGAAACTTTTGTTAAATAGAGATCTAAGAAATACTAATTTCTAAACATAAGGAAAAATTACTGTTGGTTCCCTTGAAAATATTTTACTTGGCAATCTGCGCACCATTCAGCTACCATCCACGTTGAACCGATCTAACTTGAGAAGTTGAATTTTGAAGGAGTGAGTAATTTTAAACCCAGTAGGATACATGCATCTATAACAATATAAATTTATAACATTCCATACTATCATTTCATCAAGAACAATTGGAGATCAATCGAAAGCTCTAGCATTTTGAGAAAAACCCGAAGGTGATCTCACATTTCATTTCATTTCATTTCATCAAGACACGTAGGTCTATTAGCATTTCGTGAAATAAATCATGTAAAAATAATTATAATATTGCATAGACATATCCATTTGCACGTAATATCCTACCTTGAAAAAACAAACTTCTGAAGTAATTAAAATGACACGTTCCGGAACTTTCCAACTTTTCTTCTTTCTTTCTTTCCTTCACGTGAGTAAGAAATCTCTCTTTTCTCTTTCTTCTTTACTCTTTATTCTTGCTTTGGTGTGTAAAATAATGTGACAATGCATATGTATTTATAGGGCAAAAAGTGGAATCCTAGTGTGCTAGGAGTGTAGAAACGTATCCCAATAATATTCACTTGAGGACTCTTATCTATTAAAGAATTCTTTTACCAATCACAACTAAAACTTTCAATTTAAGGATAAACATGCTTAGCTAATAGAAGAATATACACAATTTACACGTGCACAGTTAAATAGAATATGATATGATAAATTCTTTTTTTTTATAAAAGAGAAACATAATTATGCAATATTATATTATTTTCTTTTACTAATTAACTTAAAAGATACTTTTTACAAAATAAAATAATACACATTAATTATGCTTCTTTGAATTGAAATATCTTGGGCTTAACTCATCTGAACATACATTTTCTTGAGCCCAATAAACACTATTTAATGTGAGCTACAAAATGAGCCCAATGTTGATATATATTTGGTCACTCTATAAAAAGTTAAATATTTGACCCATTTAAAACATACTTTATTTTATAGTCCCTCAACTTTCAAAAATAAAATTTATATAACAAATAATTTTATTCTAAATTTTCGGGGTGTTACAGCTTATCTTTGGGATAATAAATGACCTACTTAACTCAGTGGTTAGAGTATTGCTTCGGGAGTCATTGGTTAAAATTGTTGTCTAATTTTCTATTCAATAAGAAATGGACATGATAAAAATTAAATTTAGCCACATTCAACGAGTTCTTGTTGTCTAATGTTCTATTCAATAAGAACTGGACATGATAAAAATTAAATTCAGTGACGTTCAATGTTCTATTCAACATATTTTTGTCCAGTTTGTGGTATATTTATTTATGACCTGTTTGCTGCCATTTTATAGAGAATGAAAATTACTTTTTTTACCGTTGCATCACCGAATTCAAATGTGCTGTGAAAATTACTTTTTTTACCGTTTCATCACCGAATTCAAATGTGCTGTGAGATGGAAGTCAACAATGTCAGGCTAGTGGGCCCCTTCAACGGTCACATTTCTGCTTCAAATGAAGAAAGAATGGGTAGCAAACATGGGCTTAGGTTCGACCATGTCAAACCTTTTGACCCTTAACCCACTATTTTTTCTGGATCAATGACCAGTTGTTTTGAAAACATAGATAAAAGTTAACTAATAGACATGGTTATTTTTCAGATGAGATAAACTAAATCTGCATGTGAATCCAACTCCACCCACCAAAGATAAATTACTCTGTAAGTAAAACAATATCGATGAATTTCTAACACTGATACACCAATTGCGGAGGCACATATTTATTCCACATGAGATCTAATTAGATTTTCCTTTCTCAGCTTCAGCTGTTCCCTGTGTAACTGATTAAAGCTCATGTATACTAGAATCTACGTGCCTTTTCACCATCCACTCTCTGCTTGCAAACCTGGATTATATGTTCAAAAATTAGTCATGAATGCGTTCTTAGTTCATTGATAGTTATTTCTGAGGACAATTTTTGGATAGATATTTCTGAGGACAATTCCAGGTTGGCTTTACATATTTATCAGACAATGTTTGCCTTTGGCTTCTTCTACGACATAGTGGTTAGCTATTTCTGTTCTCCAATCATATATTTACCTTTGTATTTTTGGGATATTTGCAGATTCAGACATTTATAGATGTTCTTCCTAAACATCCATTGCATTCTCATGGTTTGATCAATGCTCCAAAGGTGCTTGCTGATGTTGTTGAATCCACTTTAGGAGCTGTGTTCATTGACAGCAATTGCTCAATTGATACGACAGGGAAGGTGATATTTTTTTCCCTAAATCTTTCATCTCCTATAATCTTCAAGGATGATCCCAAGTGGGTGCTTTATCCTCCTATTATGGATACAAATTAGGCCTTGAGCATTTAGAATAATCTTTACTACGCCTCTGAATACACATTTATTGGATGATGTCATTTTTCTCTCTCGCTCGAGCGTTATCACTCTTCGTCTGTGTCTAACAGAATGTTGGCACATTTGATTGTAGACATTGGTGTTGCTTATAAATAAATTGCTCAACGAGCTTTCTCAAATTCAATCTGACATGTTGCGTTTTAATTTGCATAGGTAGCTAATGTTCTACTGAAGCCCATAATCACTCCCGATATGCTACAAGCACATCCTGTGAAGAAGCTGTATGAGATATGTCAGAAGAACAAGCTACGTGTTCGACTAGTGGATCTGTGGAGGCGAGAAGGAACTTACGAAGTTTTCATCAATAATCAACTTAGGGGTACAGGTAAGTGCCGTGAAAAAAAGGAAATAGCGTTAAACCGAGCAGCTAATAATGCTTATAATGAACTTGTAAGAACCATAGGTCTAAAAGAAATCACTGCTAGTGAATAAAAACTTTTGGAAGCAGGACTACTAATTGTGTTAGTGGCTTATATGCTAATTCTTGAAGAATCTTCTTTCCCTCCAATTTGTAGTGAATGTGGACACTGATTTTGAGTATAAATTGTATCTAGATTTCCATTTTGGGTTTTGTTCAAAAGCGGAAATATGAAAATAAAAATAAAAATAGAGTTATCGTCGAATTTGGAGTCTTCCCTTTGTATTTTAAGTTTTAAAGTCAATATATAAAGCTTATGAGGGAGACATGCCAGGTGGCAATGTCGTAATTTTATCTTCGACATTTTGGGTCCTCTTAGATAAAATCCATAGAAAATTTAGTATTATTGAGAAAAAATTCTTCACTTTATGTTGTTATTGTTGTTTGTTACCAAGCGATTGCTACAAATAAAACAAGTAATTGTTATATAGACTAGTACCCAAAGAGAAAAAGGAAAATAAAAGTTTGTTAGATGCTTTAGAGAGTGATTTATACCAGTAAAAATTGTATTATTTGATTGTTAATTAAAATAAAATTTTGTCAATTTCTTTGGTTATATTCCATGTGGAATTGAGTAATATTCTCGACAAATTAAATAAAAATATATCACTCTAAATTTATCAACTAATATTTATTTTCATTATATTACATTTTTAATCTTATTTAAATAGACATATATAAAATTAAATAAAAATATATCACTTTAAATTCATCAACTAATGTTTATTTTCATTAAATTATTTTAGTCCATTTTATAAATTCCCTAATATTCATAAAATATCCTCTTCAATTAAAGTCAAAGCAACAATGGGAGAGAGATCATTAGAGCAAATGCATAAATTCAGCAATATATGAAGAATAATTTGAAAAAAATAAAGATTTTCTTTTATTATGAGATGAATTTAGCATGTGAAGGATTCTTGATTTGTGTGTATATATAAATGGTGTGGATAGATATATGAAAGGATTGAATGAATTATGATGTGATAGATATATAAAAATTGTGTGGATGTATAATATTTATATGAATGAATTTAGTAAGGACAGTATTTGTATGTGATGGTGATGAAATTTTAATAGAAAAAGTTGTAGAGTGTGATAGATATATAACAATGGTAAATTTAAATAGTGGCTTCCTAAATTTATTATCACTACTTCGAAATCCCCGCGCTTAGTCTTTGAATGAGGACCTAGTCTTTGGCACAAAATTATAACTACAAGAAAGTCTATATGAGGCTAGGAGAGATTTTAGCCTCTATTTTCTCTACTCAATTTTTCTTTTTTTAAAAAAAAACTTTCCAATTTTTCTTTATGTCCCCAGTCATTCCCAAAACAAAAAAGAAGACAAAACTCTAAATCATTACATACAAAATCTTTTGACTTCTATGAAGTTTTGATATAGAAATCGTTTGCTCTGGGTTCTATCAGTGGCGAAGGAATAATGCCAAGTAAGCTAAAGAAGGCAATTGGTGCAGTTAAAGATCAAACAAGCATTAGCCTTGCCAAGGTTGCAAGCAACAATTCTTCCTCTCTAGACGTTGTAGTGCTAAAAGCCACAACCCATGATGATATCCCGATTGATGATAGATATGTGTACGAAATCTTGCAGCTGGTTTCGTCAAACAAAGTTTATGCTGCATCTTGTGCTCGTGCTATTAGCAAACGCATAGGCAGAACGCGTAATTGGGTTGTTGCCTTAAAGTCGTTGATGCTTGTTCTTCGAATATTTCAAGATGGCGATCCTTATTTCCCACGAGAAGTTCTTCATGCGATGAAAAGGGGTGCCAAGATTCTTAATCTATCGAGCTTCAGAGATGATTCGAACTCAAGCCCTTGGGATTTCACAGCCTTTGTTCGTATTTTTGCTCGTTATCTAGATGAGCGTTTAGATTGCTTTCTCACAGGGAAGCTGCAACGTAGATATACACAGCGGGATAGGGAAAGTTGGAGCTACCACCGGAACAAGAGGCCTAAGGAACCTGTTCGGGACTTGAAACCAGCAATGTTACTAGATAGAATCTCCTATTGGCAGCGATTACTTGAACGAGCCATAGCCACACGCCCAACTGGTGCGGCCAAGATGAATCGTTTGGTAAAAATATGTCTTTATGCCATCGTGCAAGAAAGCTTCGATTTATACGAAGACATTTCTGATGGACTCGCCCTTCTTCTCGATAGTTTCTTTCATTTACAGTACCAGAACTGCGTTAGCGCATTTCAAACTTGTATGAAGGCTGCAAGGCAATTCGAAGAACTCAGTGCTTTCTATAGTTTATGTAAAAGTATGGGCGTAGGGAGGACATCAGAATATCCAAGTATCCAGGCAATATCCGAGGAGCTGATCGAAACATTGAAAGAATTTTTGAAAGATCAATCTTCATTTCCAACGAACTCTAAGTTCCCTAACCGTCCTCTGCCTCTCCCTGCACCACCACCAAATTCTGACCAAAAGTTTGGGCGGTATGATAGTTCAAGTGGACGGTCTGAATATTCTGCCACTACCGATGGATTTTCCGAGCAGACTTCCGAATACAGTTCCCAAAGTACCTCCTTGGAAGACTTGATTAGTGCCACGGAAACAGGGAGGAGTCCGTCAATCTCAATCGATCTAGAGGCTTATTCAGATCAGTTTGAGAAACGAACACTACAGGATGATGCATTCAGAGTAAGTGAATCGGGTTCAAGCCATTCATTACCGGTGTCAAATTCAATGGCCGATCTCGTTTCATTAGACGATTGGTCAGATTCAGATGAGAAGGAGCACGAGCAAGATCATGAACATGAACATCTGCCAAAGCCCTCGGAGTCTACTTCTTCTATAATAGATTGGGAGATTGTCATAGCCGAGACGTTATCAGCATCGCCACACATACCCTCCAATAATGCCGCCAACAGCTTCAACGCCTTTCCCGAACAAGAATCTGCACAAACAGTAGAGAACAATGCTTCAGCAGATCATTCAATAAATGGTTGGGAGCTTGTACTATTTACAGAGGTAACAGAACCACATGCCACTAAGCCACTACGAAACAATAACAACTTACCAGCAACTTCCTTGGACAGTTTGCATAACCAAAGCACATTGCCATCAAACCACTATAACCCCTTCCTTCAAGATGCACTCGAATTTCCAGTGGCAGCCACTATACCCGACGTGGCAACCCCGGCTATTGCTGCCACCAAATTGCAAGCTGCTGCTCAAGTCGCGCACACATTTTCATCAGCACCTACATTTTCGGTTCAAAATCCGAACAAGGCATCATCTGCAGCGCAGATTGAGAATGATCTATTCTCGCCATATTTGAGTACTACATTTTCAAATGATCAGGCGTTTAATAGTTCCATGAGTCAACAGAATGTTCTTCAAGAACAGCAGTTATGGTTGCAAAACCAAAACAAGATCATAGCAAAACACATGGTCTAAATGTAAATTGTTATATAAAGCCATGTAATAGTGAACGTTTGTAAGATCATTCTTTTGATTCCTTGCGGGTTGAAATAGTAATTGGTAACTTTTACGCATTTTAATTTGATCACTTAACCTACATTAATTCCCAATCGATCAGTAAATTTCCTTTTTTGTTTTTTCATTCGTCACTCCATGCATCCACGATCTTATCTTACGAAAGGACTTAATATTTGACTCACAAAAAGTGTACATGTGCATCGAATGTTAGTGTTTTCGCCTTATCTCTGACGTGATTAGAGAATCCTTCATCAAAACCACTTACCTTCATACAATCAGACTCCAACAAACAATCTTGCATAATATCTCCATGCTTTTCCTTTCAATGTATGAGCGAAACTTGATTGCTCCCCTGTAAAATGGATGGATGGACAAACATTTGTCGTTTGCTCTTGTCACAAAGGATAATTTATAAACAGTTTATACACTCCAAGCCATTTTTTATCAACACATTTTTGAGGACCTTCAAGTACTATCCACTATCAACCAATCATTTCTATTACTTTGATCTTGAAGGTCTCCAGTAGTGTTTGCTGGAGAAAATTATGAATTTTGGTATATCAGAATATTGAAGATGGTTGCAAAACCAAAACAAGATCATAGCAAAACACGTTGTCTAAATATAAATTGTGTATAATGTTGGAATTGGTTTGAGTATACAATCATGAAAATGTGACTTACGTGTCAACTTCGACCAAATATTCGGACTTGGTCCGATAGTCAAATTATGGAAATAAATAGACTAACTTGTTTTACTTGTCGAGTAGATCTTCATGGTATATTTGGAATCTCTAAACCAATTCCGAGTGAATGAGAAATTCAATCTAAAGTTGGAAGAAAAAGATAAGAAACTGGCTGGAAATTTGACGCTCGCCTAGTGCTCGAGCGAGAAGGTAAATTTTGTGATTATTTCAATGGTTGCAAAACCAAAACAAGATCATAGCAAAACACGTTGTCTAAATATAAATTGTGTATAATGTTGGAATTGGTTTGAGTATACAATCATGAAAATGTGACTTTCGTGTCAATTTCGACCAAATATTCAGACTTGGTCCGATAGTCAAATTATGGAAATAAATAGACTAACTTGTTTTACTTGTCGAGTAGATCTTCATGGTATATTTGGAATCTCTTAACCAATTCCGAGTGAATGAGAAATTCGATCTAAAGTTGGAAGAAAAAGATAAGAAACTGGCTTAAAATTTGACGCTCGCCTAGTGCTCGAGCGAGGAGGCTGTCGCTTGAGAGCAACATGCGAGTGACAAAGTCTCTATTTTTGACACTCGAGTTACTCAAGGGCGACATGCTAGCGACAGCAAATGCCGCGACTCTTGGCAAATGTTGCTGAATTTGGGGCGCGACACTTCACTCACAATCTTTCATTCTCTATAAATTAGACCATTGGAACGTCCATTTGTTTATCCCAATGATACGCAATCATAATATAATGTTTTTACTCATATCCTTATCATTATTCTGTCCAACTTATTTTGGTAAGGATTGGGAGGTTGATTTTGGCTTAATAGCACAAAACGTCCCTAAGTTTTACACGTTTTGTGGAAAATGTCCACATGTTTCATTTTTTCGCATTTTCGTCCTTATTTCAACATTTCATTGCGGAAAACATCCTTTTTGGAACAAAACATCCCTACGTTTGACATTTTTTGTGGAAAACGTCCCTACGTTTTATTTTTTTGCATTTTCGTCCTTATTTTAACGTTTCGTTGCGGAAAACACCATTTCACCATTTTTTAACGTAAAATGACCAATATACCCTTCTATTTAAATAAAACAAAAAAGAGAGAAGAAAATAAAGAACAAATTAAAATCTTACTCTTAAACATTTTTAAAAAGTGCAAATGAATCCAAATAAATATAATTTTGCTCTCTAATTTTGGGGAGATTTTTGCCCCTCTGGGCGCCGTTTATGGAGCCAAATTCCGACAAACTCCGGCCACCTAAACCACCAGAAAATGGTACTGGTGGAAAGCCCTTAACCACCTTTTCAATTCCATTCCAATATCTGCCTGTAACTCCAAGTATTCCGGCCGGCACAAAGTTTTAAAGTTTGCTGCCTGAAAATCTGAAAAACGTCGATTCCGCGCCTGTGAGCATTTCAGATCCAAATTCCGGTTGATTGAAGCCAAATTGAGGGAGACCCAACGGTGGACTAGGTGCTCTAGGTGAAGGCAAACCTAGCTCATGTGGTTCGATACCTCCATTTGTCCAGACGGATCCGGAAACTAACTTCTCGATGTTACGTGCGTCGCAACAAGGAGAAGTTCTTGGTTAAATTCAGCATCTAAACTTGGTATTTGGACTCATTTGCACTTTTTAAAAATGTTTAGGAGTAAGATTTTAATTTGTTCTTTATTTTTCTTCTCTCTTTTTTGTTTTATTTAAATAGAAGGGTATATTGGTCATTTTACATTAAAAAAATGGTGAAAATGATGTTTTCCATAATGAAACGTTGAAATAAGGACAAAATGCAAAAAAATAAAACGTATGGACGTTTTCCACAAGAAATGTCAAACGTAGGGATGTTTTGTTCTGAAAAGGATGGATGTTTTTCGCAATGAAACGTTGAAATAAGGATGAAAATGCAAAAAAATGAAACGTATGGACGTTTTCCACAAAAGTGTCAAACGTAGGGACGTTTTGTGCTATTAAGCCGGTTGATTTTTGGTTTAAAGTCATCAATCATCATATCTTTTTTTTTTCCCAACATATAAAGCCTTGTAATTGTAACGATTTTTAGTTTATTCTTTTGATTTGTTCTTGCAGATTAAAATGGCAATTGGAAATTTTTCGAGTTTCAATTTGATTACTTAATCGACATTGATTCCAAATCCATCAGCAAATTCCATTTTATTTTGTTTTTCATCCGCTACTCTGTTTAAGGTTCTTGGATTTGATGCTATCTATGATGAACATATGTTTGACAATTTAAATTTAGAAGTGAATTTTCTAAAGGATTAGTTCATTATAAATTGATTTTTCTAAGAATAATCTTCTTTGCACATATAACATAATAGAATATTACACCGACATCTCTTCTATTTTTTTGAAAATAATGAAAATAAAAAAAATTTCATCTAAGAAATTTAATTTTATATGTTAAATATATTTTTCTTGGGGATGAGAGAAATAGTTAATTCATATTTTTCTCGGTGTAATATTCTATTATGTTATATGTGCAAAGAAGATTATTCTTAGAGAAAATCAATTTATAATGAACTAATCCTTTAGAAAATTCACTTATACACACACACACACACACATATATATGGTATTAACAATTTTCCTCGATGGTCGCTACTTAATGCATCCCCCCCCCCAAGACGTCGACCCCCCGGGAGCCCTCTACGCTCACAGGGGCCGTCTACCATTATGAGGCCTACGGCATCGACCCCCACTATACTTAGCCAAATAAATGGCAATGAGATAAACGAAAACTACCCAACAGCAAACGGGAACATGACCAACCGCAATGCGAGTGGGGGTCAACGCTATCAAACGTGAGGGAGTGGGAAGACATACGTGGGACACGTGGCACAGTTAATCGTGGAACATGGGGGCGTGCCATTAGGTGCCTATAAATACCTCATTGTGGGGAAAGGTATGGTTTCTTGAAACCCGAACTGATTGAACTCCCAATATACTTTCTTCCTACTTTTCATAAATACCTACTGATTCTCACGTCGAAGGTACAACGGGGGAAAAAGCCCCGACATCGTTTTGCAGGTAACGTCCATTGATCGGAGCAACCGGAACACCCCACACGTTATCATTTTCGTGAAGGTAAATTTTGTGATTATTTCATTGGCGCCGTCTTTGGGAACCCACTGAACAAAAAAGTTATGTCAAAAAGACGAACACGAAGTGAAACACGCTTGGTCGGAAACATGGCGGATGCGGAATTCGAGTCTGTTGCGAGGGATCATGATCCGCCATCGCAGTACATAACGCAAGGCCAATTTAATGCTTTGGAGACACAATTGGCGGCCATGATGACCCTCTTGCAGAACCAAACACAGAAAATTGCAGCCTCATCGCAGAGTTCGTCGGAAGTCGTACGCGTGCAACCACCCCTGTAGCGCAGACTGTTACCCCGCCTACTACTCAGCCAACAATAGGAGACGTGGGGACTTTCGATTTTGTGTATCCTCAGGTTCCTCAACCCGCGACAGACTTGGAAAAGAAGATAGAGGAGATGATGACCTAGACGATAGATGATGCATTGACAAGATGGAAAGATAGACGCAGGCAAATGGTATTGGAAGAGGACCCGTTCGCCCTAGAAATAATGGCCGTCCCTTTGCTGAAGGGCTTCAAACAGCTAATGATAGAAGCGTACGATGGAGTCACGGAGACTGGGTAGCCACACTGGCGCCCAGGTCTATAAGGACTTTTGATGAACTCTTCAGGAGCTTCGTGGCATACTTTATGAGTAGTAAGAGAAAACGAAAGACAGCCATTGGATTGATGCAGGTGGTACAGGAGTAGGAGGAATCTTTGCAAGAGTACTTGGCTAGCTTCAGCCGAGATATCCTTGGTATAAGGGAACTTCAAATGTCTGCAGTAGTGATAGCACTAATGAACGGGACGCGAAATCGAGCCTTCAAAATGTCGCTCTCCAAATACCCTCCGGAGTCAATGCATGACCTGTTGAAGAAGGGTGACAAGTATGTTGATGTAGAGGAAGATGAGAGGGTTATGAAAAATTTGAAAGAAGAATGGGAGACAGCGAGCCACAAGCGAAAGTCAGGTGACGAGCGAAAATTTATTGATAAAGGCAAATCAAGGAATGAGCGCAAGGGCAAAGGATATGTTCCAGATCGATCCATCAGACAAAGATGAGAGGAGGACAAGGCCTTCACCCCCCTGAATACACCTCGGGCAAAGATATTGATGGAGATCAGGGATATGAAAGACCTTGACTGGCCGAGACTGATGGC